TATACAGTAACTGAATTGTTTCAACTTAGCCAAATAGCATTGAAATGGACCTAATTGTTGCAGGAGAGGAAAACCCGTGTGTCCCCAGAGACTATTAGTGTCATTTAAAAGGCTAAATGTATCATAAAACCTGTCTTTAACAGAATAAAATTGTACAGACCAACATAATTTTCGTTAATGTTTTCCACATTTCTTGAAAAAGAAGAAAGAAAGAATGAGAGAGAGAGAGAGAGGGAGGGAGGGAGGGAGGAAGGGAGAGAAAAAGTTATTGACTTGGCAGCGGAGCTATAGTTTATTGGGTCACTGAATTATTCGGAGTAGTTTATTTCTGTAGACCAAATAACTTTTTAAAAACTAAAAAGATTTTGGAACAAAACACATACAAGGTCATTTGAATTAAAAGATAACCCCATTCTAAAAGATAAATTTAGCCTGTTATGTTTCTTTCATAGGGTGGAGTTTTAAACAAAGATGAAATGTAACTTATACACAGAATAAGATTCAAACCTTGTCCACTTTGTGCCTTCAAAGTGGAAGTGAACTTTACAGCTTGTTTCATTGGCTCTTTATTTTCCCTTTATTTTTTTGTTCTGGGGAAATACCTCCCCATGGTATTTTTCCTATTGTCACATATGTTGTACCTGCTGAACGTGTGCTCTGCTTCTTTTGAGTAAAGTAAATAATGGTAGAGCTCTTCCCAAACAGACAAAGGTAGAGAGGAAGGTTTAAGCGTTGCTTTTATTCCATCAAAGAGACAAAGGGATATTTCTTTCCTCTAAAGAAGTTCAGAGAATAATGGGGGAAAATCAAGAACAGAGACAAATAGTGAATCAAACCTCAATTGAAAGAACAAATCTTTCTATTTATCTGTCTTGTCTTTTCATTGAAGTTGTATATCAACTACCAAGAAAGCTATTTCAAATAACTTCTGCTAACATAATTGTTATTTTATAAGTTTAGTTGCTATGGTAATGCATGATGTAATCGTCTATTACCATCACAATCTGTTAGGTTTTCATACCTAGCCAGCATATTATTTTCCTCTTTCTCTCTGTTAGTCCTCTAAGATCCAGGAGGGAAAAACAAAACAAAATAAAACCGTGTATATATTGTTTGGTTCTTCTGGCAAGTCTCTGAATTGGGATATAATTAACCATGTACAGGAGCTTTTCTGAAACTGAAAAGTTTTAGATTTTCCTGCAACAACCATTATCCCTTGATCCTCATTAAAATACGAGCAAATGGAAACAACTGTAATTTCTCCATTGTTCACTATTAGATGAATGTGCCGGATGTAGGGCTCCAGAAGATGAGGACAGTGTACCAAACGCTTGTAACAGAGGGATGCTTCACTGATGAGATGGGCTGGGGGTCGTTTTGCTGTCCATTCTCAGGGAATGGCTGTCACCAGCTGCCATTCAAGAAATCCCATGAAATCATGTCAGCTCAGCATGTTGAGACAAGGATAATCCATATTTTGATAAGAGACACACATTCTTCTTTTCCCAAGTGGAAAGCATAGACCTGTGGCACAGAAATGCATGTATTTCAACATGCAACGGGGCTACCAAAGTCAAAGGTGTGTGCACCCCTGGAAGCCAGGATGTTAGTGCTTAGTGCACTGGCATTTGCAGTGTCAAAGCCCAAAGGACAAGCACTCTCGAACTCCAATAGGTGAGGAGGCCAGCTGTGGCTAATAACTGTGTTTGATCCCTCATCCAAGTTACTCTTTACCTATACTCAGTTGTCCTAACCTTAACAAATCTATTCCAAACTGAGATCTCCTGTTTCCACCCATGTGACATTGCATCTACACAGGCCTGGGCAGACCGGGGGGTCCATTACCTCTTGCCTTGATGTCTGCTTTTCCTTAATCCCATAGTTTGCTTGCTTTTGTTTCCCACCTATTAACTCCTAATTTATCTTCTCATACTCATCTCAGAGCCGCCTTTGCCATTAGGAATTTTGATTTTTTGGCAGGATTAATCTTTCTGTACTCTGAGCACATTTTCTACTTGTATTGCTTGATTTTTTAATCAGATTTTCATCTTTTAGCACGAGAAGATGACATCTCTCTCCCTCTCTCCCTCCTTCCTACTCTGTCTCTTGACTATAAGTCTCTAAAAGGTGGGGACCATGACTCACTTATCTTCCTAGCTCCAAGAGGTTCTAGTACAGTATTTGCGATGTACTGGTAGACTTTTCATTTATGAAAACAGGAATCCAGCTCAAATTCTAGCCCATATACTGTGATGTATATTTACGACTGTTAGTGTACTAACATTTACACACAGTACATGGTATTATATTCTCTTTAGCATATGTGTTCCCATGTCCTGTGTGTCAACCCCTAAAACTATTGCTTGTTTTTATTTCCTATTATCTGGGAAACAGATGTTTTTCAAATTGAAGGATTTAAATATATACTGGTCCTGAATTAAGTCACTTTCTTTGCCAGTTTAGAGAGAGAGACCCAGATTCCACTATTCCCCACACTCTTATATATTTTCCTTGATATATATCAGAGAAAGGATTTCTGAAAGCTTCTGAAAAACACATAATAAATTTGGTGCTTCTCTTTTCTTATGGTTTTGTGTTATATTTAGAAATATGATAGTTCTGTTTCATTTTTGTATTCCCATAAGCATGGCTATAAGTAGTGAGTAAATATTTATTGAATGCAAGAAGAAGAATGGAACAAAGAAAGGAAAGAAGGAAAGGGGGAGGAGAGAGAGGGGAGGGGAGGAAGAAATAATTTTCTCTTTAATTGCTCATCAGGTAGAATCTCTTCTCTTGGTTTCAAGACACAGTGAATGGTTTTGTACTCTTTGTTTGTGTGGGTTGTGATGAAGCCACAAGACAATTATTAAAAGCTCAACAAATTTATATTTTCAAATGAAACTATTGTTAATTATGGCCACACACTACTGTGGGAAGATACAATAACTTTTCTTTTCAACTCATTAATTTCCAAGCATTTTAGTACTGGTTACACACAGAAGTAACATCTAACCTGTGTTTCCTGAGTCATTCCCCTCATGATACTTTCTTCACAAATGGTATTTGGTGGCACCTTTCTTTCTAGCTCCTTGAAATTAAAAGCAATTAGATGGGGCCGGAGATGTAGCTCAGTGGTGCTGCTCCTGCCTGGCAAGCGCAAGGTCCTGAGTTCAATCCCCGGTACTGAAAAAAAAAGCAAGTAGATGACTCTTAATTTTAGATCAGATTCTCTTGATTAGGACTGAGATGGCTGTGGAGGAATCAGGAGGTATTATATTACATGTCTTCTACCATTATCAACTGGTCCTTAACAGAGCAAAGGTCAAGGCAGGTCCTGCCGGGGGCAGCTGTCTTTTTGGATGGCAAGGTGGTGGTAGGAAATCTTTATGTTAGACAGCTCCAGATGATATAATTGGTCCCTTAGTCTATTTTGAAGTGATCAAGGCATGGAGAGTATTTTGAAGCTATGCCTTCATCATTTGGCATCCCCAATACATGATGCCTGGCAGGTAACAGAATTCAACATTTAATGAATCAGCACAATATGATTTTCTCTCGTAAAACACTATAGTTTACAAAAGGCTGTCTTTGATTCCTCAGTTTAGACTTCAAAATTCATAATCTGAGATGTTTATTATTTTACTCATTTTACGTATGAAGAAAGAAAATGGATTTGATGCCCTATCCAAAGTCTTTTGGTGGATCCCAAAAATCAGGTCATCAGACTTCACGGTTGCTTTTTCAATATACTTTGTAATTCAATCAAATGAAAGGATCCATTTTTGAGGCTTTAGATACACATTTTCAAATGACTCCATTTTCTCATTGGCATTCAGGATTCTATAATAATTTGTTCCTTACTCCAGAACTATGACCTGAAGAAAAATGTCAGTATCTTTATTGAACCAGACAATAATTGTGGCTGTACTTTCTTCCTCAGCTCCCTGAAGTCTTCAACAACGTGGGTAATTCAGCAATGGGTATGTTTGGTGAGCATGTGGACATCAACTGTCTGTCAATTTCAATCACAGTCTTTCTTATTGAACACTTTGGTTTGTCTCCATTGAACATCTCTCCATACCTCCTTTCGGCTGGACTGAAAAGTGTTACCTTTATTTCCTTCCTAATGGTTTATATTCAGGAGTGTGAGTTGATGTCATAATCAACTTCATCCAAATGGCTTTTTAGAATAATACCACCAACAAATTTGCACATTAGCATGAATAGATAACTTGAACGTTCTTCCCTTCCTTGTTCCAAGATGATTTTGCAAACTCATCTAGACCAGCTTGCCTATTATTCCAACATGTGTCTGGAAACAACTGATGCTGGTTTGTTTTCAGCAGGATTTGGTGGGTTAACATTATATACATTAAAGGGTAACAAGACAAAAACATGTTTGAATACCTTGTCTTGTAAGAATTAAATATGGATGGTCAAAAACTTCTAGTATTGGGGGTCAATGTCTGTATTAGAATCATAAATTTCAATGTTAAAATTCTCTTTTAGCCTCAACTAGTATTTCCTTTAACTTTAACAGATTCAAAAAATTTGGATTAACATGTATTAATTGTACCTATCGGTTGGGTTTGTTGTGACTTTTCAATATATATATATATATGCAGTGTACACTGATCAACATTAAGCATACTTTCTCAGTTATAAAAATATACTTTGAGAAAAATTGGAAGTACATTAAAATATGAAGTTATCAATAGAAAGTGTTCATAATATGGCCCTTTTATTTTTTTTGCAGTGATATTCCCATTTATTTCACTTTCAGTAAGTTATTCTCGTACATGATTGAACACATATTTTGCTTTAAAATTAACAGTCACAGTTGAAGAAATAGTGGCTTATTTTTCTAATTAAGTTACCAAGCTACTGAATCTTAAGGTCTCAACCTTAATGTTGCACCTTATTATTTTCACTGAACAATAAGATCCTCTATTTTGATTATTCTTGGTGAGCAGCAATTTTGTTTTTCCAGTGGTTTCCATTTTCCAAATAGTCATGACAGATGGTTCAACATGGTGCCCACCACTTCCAGGGATTCCACCTGATGAGTCCTCTTTCCCAGGGCAACAGCCATGGCAGCCTCCACCCAGAGCTCAGCCATTGGGACTTCTCTATCGGGGCTGGCCAAGAAGTCCCGCTTTGGCTGCCAGGGCCTCATTCTGCTGAATATGGGATTCCTGAAATTTCATGGATATTCTTTGCGTCATTTTTAAATATTTCTGTAAGCAATGTTCTGTACAGGTGATCTCTTCAGGTTTTACTTCTCTTGTTGTGAAGTCTTTAACACAGTCCAAAAAGTACGTTTCTGTAAGTTTATTGTAGGTTCCCAGGAATTCCCTAAACTGTTTTATCTGATCAGAGTCTGATATCTGTGCAGCCATATTCTTTTGGTTTATTTATGAGTCACCTTTCCTGACGCAGGAGTTTCCTGAGTTCCTGAGAAGCAGTTGTCCACCCTCTGCTCAGGGTTCCAGTGAGGCCTGATTTCTACAAGGTTGTCCAAAGCTGGGCCCTCAAGTTCTCATTTAACTTTAGACTTCTATGAAAGTAGACATTCAGTCACTGGCTTTCATCCATACGAGGCTGGGGGACTGTGACGACTGTCTAATATGGCCCTTTTAAAAGATTTGTTTAATTCCTTAACTCTTTTCTTCATTTCATTTTCTTGACTTAATTGAGATTTTCTTCTCTAGGAAAACTTGTGTTAATATTAAATCATAAGAATGAACTGTTTGCTGATTTTTGAATTTTTGATATAAATATAACTAAAAACATACCCACCACATGCGTATATTACATCTATTCATATTAATACATTTAAACCCTAAATATGTCCATAAAATGAGATATTTATATAATTATAGGAATACATTTATAAAACATATTTTCTATTCATAAAAGTATTGTCCAAGTTACTTGCCTGAGAAGGGAACATTAAAATTTTTTTCATGATTATGTGTATAAAAGAGCCTTACGTTTAGTGTAATCAAATTAGCAATATTTTTATTTGTGGTTTACTTCATTACTTTTAAGTATAAAATTTTGTTTTCTAATACATAAAATTTTTAGTATATGCTTTGGCTGTCTGCCTAAAAGTGGAATTACTAATTCAAAGGGCAGGAACTTTGCACTAAAGGTTATAGTGATATATTTTGTCTTGAATGATTTTACTCATTCATTCTTCTATCCATAGAGTGTGGGGTTTTAAATCTCACCACACCAATGTCAACCTTAAGTATGGTAATTTTAAGTTATTTGTCATTTTATTGTATTTCTAAAAAATTGATACATCTTTGCTACATCAAGTTTGGACAAAAACAATAAATATAAATAAAAAAATAGAAATTGTCCCCGTCTCTCCACCTAAGGATACTTACTAATAGTTTGCCATATGACTGTACCACCTTCCTCTTTGCCTCTAGCATCTTACATTACATAGAAATATTTACTCTTCCTGTGTTCACCTAGCATTCCACAGGAGCAATTCCTCATGATACCAGTGGTGTGTGCACATGTCATTTTTGATGGCCAGTACAGTATTGTCCACATGAAACTAGTTATTCTACTTTCAGCATGGGCAGCACTTCTAATTTTTTAAGGGATGCTGTAATGAATACCCTTGAAAATACACATTTGAAAAAAATCTCTTTTATTTCTTAAAGAATATTTCTGCAATTGAAAGGTTGAGACAAAAGCATATGAATTATATAACTTTATTTCTATTGCCAAATTGCTCACATGCAAAGTGAGAAGACGTATCATTGAGTTTGCTTTTCTATTTTCAAATTTTGATTTTAAGTACGATTAAGTATTTTTGATATTGTTATTAAATATTTATGTCACTTTTTATGCAACAATTTTTCTTGTTATTAACTATTCTTTTAAACGTATTGTATCTTACTATCTTTTAATTGGTTGAAGATATTTTTCCCACTTGTTATTTTTATTAAAAAGGAAAAATTAAAAATTTATTTTCAGCATTATGGATATGAAAAAGTTTTATGTCTTTTGTCATCACATGTAGATAATTTTCTTCATGGTTTCTTTCGCTATTTTTTTGGATGAAAATTTATTTTCTAATCAGATAGGATGTAGATATTTTTATCCTTGCAGCATTTTTTTCAGTATTTTAGAATAGTTTTGGGTTTCAGTTAATGACATGATCTATTTAGAATTCACCCTGGGATACATTGTGAGGGGAAATTATTTTTGTACTTTCCCTTAACTTGCCAATTGATTAAAAATTCCTTCTTTTCCCCACTTTTTTTTGTATTGTCATTGTCAAATGTAAAATTCTCATACATATATACTTATGTTTCTGAGTTACTTTTTCTATTTCATTGATCTGGCTTTAGAATTTTTAAAAATTTAGATTAATAACGTGTAAGGAGTGAAAATTTGTTTTAGAATTTAAGATTTATTGGAAAGACCGCAGCCTAATTAAAAACTAAAAATAGCTGCCCTAGGGTGGGAGAACTGTGGGCAGCTGCGTGCAGACTCACCTGACAGCGAAGGGTTTGGAGATGGAGCTGTGAACGATTAGCAGGAGTGTGTCCCCAGATGTAGATGGTGGAAGAGGAGACAGCAGGTAAGGTCGGAGCCAAGGCAGAGAAACACAGGAGAACACCAGGGACTTCAGTCAGCCCCAGAGGTGAGGGGATGCCAGAGATGGTGCGGGCTTGCCTCTTGCCTGCCTGCAGCAGGCTGTGCACTGAGCCCTAGCTGTAGACAGTGGCATGTGTTTTCATGAGAGGAATACAAGATCAGCTTAGGTTCTAGATATTTGGAAAAGACTGGCATTTGAGACAGTGTGCCTTGTGTCTCGTCTTCAGCCACTGAGAGGCATTCTCTGTCCTACTGACCATGAGCAGCTGTTTCTGTTTAAGTTGATGCCTCAGTAGATGCTAACATTAGACTCTTATTTATTTTTCTGATACTGTCTAATTTTCAGTAATGATCCCATCCGCTGACATTTTCCTGGGAGTGCCTTACCATGTGGAAAGCCTTGCACAGATTCTGAACTTTAGCTTTTGTCCAGGTACATTTCCAGCTCCCAAGGGCTCCTGGCTTCACAGTCTCGGCCCCTTGGAAGACAGGGCCAGTGTCCACACTGACAGCCTCGGCCGGGTCCATGGACATATTGCTGATGTCCTCTTGAGGACCTGAAAAGCTGCTAAAGAGATGCACAGCTAGTGCTGTGCTGTCCTGCTAGTCTCACTGGCTGACTGCTGGGTGAGGGAAGCCCTGAGGTGCTTCTAGAAGCTTCCTTCCAGTCATGCGGGCAGGTGACAGTTTCTGTACTCTGTGCTTAGCCTGTGTCACAGGCAGATAACCTGATTGTAGGATAGTGTTTCTCTCCCTCTGCCCCAATACCAGAATGGTCCCAGTAGGTTCATATGGGTCATGCTGGTCCTCAGAGTAGGATAGCCTCAGCTAACCTCGAAGGGCACAGAAGGAAAGCAGGAAGTCACCCTCACCTGTGGGAGGTCTTAAAGTGACTTAGCATCTTTGGTAAATACATTAACTGTCATTTGTCTTCATTAAATAATTATTAAATATTTGCAGGTATATCTTTTAAATTTATATTATTTAAGTTATTTGTACTATTTAAAATTAAACCACATCCTTTTATTAAATAGGAAAAAAAATCAAGAGAATAAGCTTTGGCAAGCCTAAGATGTATGATGAATTTGGAATCCCTTAAACTAGTGCCAGGGCCTCAAGAGCCCAAAGAAACTCCCAATGCACAGCATTTGAGGTGCTCAAAGCAGGTGATCTCAACCAGAGCAGAAATCATTTCATGCTGCTTGAAGCGTGTTATAAAGCAAGTTTACTAAGTTCAATTTATGCATGGATTACATCATCTATTGAAGAATACTCTATTCTTTTACAGTTGATCTTACATCTCTGACCAGCAGGTATTGGCATCTGTGAGGAGTAAATCCCAAATCTATATAGCAAAAACCAACCGAGGTTTTGTAAGTTGGCTTGCCTTGCAACTTTTGATTCTCAATTACTATCAATATTATGTGTTTCTGATGTAGTGTCTTTTTAAACCAGTCTATCACTGAATAAGGTTCTATGCTGATGAAAGTTTTGCAGTCTGTTTTGTTAAAACATCAGTCATTCAAATCCAAAACCACTTTCAGACCCATGGCTTTTTACAATCCAAACCAATTGTTCAACTAATCTGATTCACTGAAAAGAGTATGTCATCTATGAGAAATAAGAACTAAAGTTTTTCCACCACTTTTTGCCCTGCTGCTTTGGAAAACATCATTTCATATCCGAAGTGTTATTCCCCTTATGACTTGGCTTTTGTTTCAGGCTCAATACAAAATGTTGTTGTAGAATTTATTTCTCATTCTTTATTATTTTCTTTTATTTTAGCATTTCATTTATCATTGTGCTGGCTAATCCACAATTTGCTCTCCTTTCTACTAGCATTTCATGTTTCATCTGTATAATGTGTTTTCAGTCCCGATCTGCCCATCCACCTAAATCATGTTTTATTTCTGTCCCGGAAGGCCTTATGGTAATTAAATAATTGTGTTTCTTCTAATATTTCTAGGAACACTTTATTATTTTATACTAGACATATTGGAGGCTGTGAATTGAAATGGACTTCAGGCAATTGCTTACTTTCAATAGTGGTCTGTCATTAGGTTATGTCTAAAGGACAAAAATCGAGCATATTCTGTTTTCTGATGTAGTAAATGTAACTGAGGTTAAGAATATATGTTAGCCTATGAAGGCAATGTTATGCATCATAAGAGAATATTTGGATACCCCCCCACCAGCTATTAGCAAAAAAAGGGAGCAGTGACCAATCACAATACATCAGAAGTGAAAGTAAGCTCTTTGTTTGAAAAGGCTAAATTCATAGACTGTCATTTACACTTGAGACAATCTAGTAGTCAGTAGGTTTTCCTCTTTATCCATAAGAGACCTGTTGTTCTAAGACCCCAGTGGGTGCATGACAGTGCACTGACCTCTATATCGACTATGTTTTTTCCTACATATACATGTGTATGGTAAAGTTTAACTTATAAACTAAACACAGTCAAATATTACCAACAGCTCAGAATACTCTACTGTAATGAGTTGTTTAAAACATTTATTTCTGGAATTTCCCATTTAATATTTTTGCTCTGAGGCTCATCTTTGGTAACTAAAGTTGTGGAAAGTGAGACCACACAGGAGAGGAGCTGCTGTATTGATCTTTGTATTTAATGATTGTGGTCTGATTAAAAACAAAATGCAGAGCTCCTGAGTATGGGAGGCAGCCCCTGTGTAACTGGCAGTGTGGTCAGGAGACATGCCATATTCAAGCCCTGGCCTCCGTTAGCTTCCATGCTTGGGTTTCCTCATTCACTAAATGAGGTTAATTAAGATTG